TGAGTCATACATGATACACTATGTTCTATATATTCCAAATTCGAAAGTACTCAAACACTTTTCATAGCCCCATAAATCCAATAAGGAATGCCAACAAATAAATGTCCCACTCAAGTGTTCTGGCACTTCACATTCCGCTCATTTACAAATTTCCTCTTAAAATTAAAGAAATTTCCCAATAGCTAATGCAGTTGCTCAAATGGGAAATAGCTCAAATAATTGCCCAATAAAAATATCCAATTAGGTATGTTTATATGACTAGCTCAAATAGTTCCCCTCAAATGTACCAATGGGAATTTCCCTTTCAAACTGCACTCAAATACACTCGCGCACTTTTTGGGAAATTTGTTCTTAACATCACAGATCAATGGGACGTTTCACTCATGCTGTTGCTGGTGTTGTTGGTGGTGGTTGCTTTTCGGTCTGGAGTTTGGGTTCTCGACACACTTTTTGGGCAACTCACCCACCAGTCTCCGCTGCACCATCAACCGAACCACTTCGCGTGCGGCAATGTGAACCAACTGCGCAACGTTTCCAACTTCCCTAACTATCAATCAGTGCGTGCGTGTGTGTGTGTGTGCGTGTGTGTGTGTGCCTCTGCTTGTGTTTTTATGTGTGTGCGTGCGTGTGCGTGTGTACGAGTGGAGCTCGAAAATGACTGATTTCTCAATGAATGAAATCCTCAGATCATTTAGAAAAATGCGCATGCAACGTTGCTCAGGCCAAGGCAGTCATTTGGTAACCCAAAACAATCATCATCGTCATCATCATCATCAACACCACCACCACCACCACCACCATCATCATCATCATCAACAGCAGCAACAACAACAGCAGCAGCAGCCCCCAACATCAACAGTGCAACAATCCAAAGACCTGAAAAAAATTATCAAAATTTTAAAGAAAAATGTTATCAAGGCGAAAATTACGCGCAAAATGAAAATCGTTGTTTAGGAAAAACGGAGAAAAGTGGGATTTCAATGAAAACAAAAGTGCGAATAAATAAAATAATATATAATAATCAATAAAGAAAGTAATAATAAAAATATTCAATAAAGTTATGTCATAAAAGATTTTATGCTTATTTAGACTAGAACTTAAGACTTATGTAAAAACTCGGGACTGATTTACACAAAGAGCAAACAAATATATATAAACATAGTCTGAACTTGCAATTAAACTACCTCAAAAAAAATCGATGAAAAAAAGAGTCTGACAAAAGTTTTTACTAAATACTATCCCAAAATAATAATAATTAAAGTAGAAAGTGTATCTAAATATTAAGCAATATTTAACACTACCTCAAAATAAAAACCTAAAGAACTTTCGAACATTAAGACAAAAAGATCTCCGACCCTAACCAATAAAAACATATATATTTAAAAGAGAAGAAAACTATTATGGACTGCATTTAAAAGAACTTTGGACTTTGGTAACCTCAATTGAAACAGACTGCAAAATTTTATATTGAAAAAATAAAAACAAAATCAAATAAAACTCAACATGACTGAACGAAGCAATGAGAAAAAGACTTGGTCAGCCAAGCCGAACTGGATTAAGGATGTGCTAAATAAATCCGGAACGGATTTGGTGGATATAACCAAAGCAAAGGCCAAAACGACGCAAAAGAAAACAAATGCGAAAGGTAAAAGAGTACGGAACTTTCAAGAAAGAAGCCGGAAAAACTTTGAACGCCCCCAGCGCTCCCACTCGCCGTGCGCCATTTTGTTTTGGTATACGCAAGTGTGGAGCGTGCCGTTTGATGGGGGAAGTTCTATCAAAATAACAAATCAAGAGAGCTACCAAAAGCCGGTTTACCGAGCTTTACAAGATGCAAAAAATAGAATACAACATAATTTCCCCCCAAATTTAGGGAAATTTGACGAAACACCCTATTGCGTAGTTCACTCTCTCTCCCAGTGTTTCCCTTTCTCTTTGTTTACCCCTCAAGCTTATGCGTTTTCTTTTTTCGTTTCGTGAAAACTTGAACCGGCAATAACAGAAAATTGCGTAGTTCGCAGTTCGTAGGGTGGGTTTTTCCCATGCCATTGTTAAGGGAGCTGCTCCCCCACCCATCAATGGGTTTTCCCAACCACCCAATAAACCGAAACCAACTCGTATGCGCGGCTACCTTTTGGGCTTTTGCGTTGTTACTCATCAGCGCTTTGTTTCTTCCAAGGAAAATGCGTAATGCAGGTTGTCAAGACCAAAAGGCAAAAAAAATAAAACTAGGGTGGTTCCACTACACATCCCAAACAGCTCTGAAGCCATCTGGATAGTATGAAAACCCTTGTCATATGCCTAGCATTGACTATTCAAAGTTCATTGAACACTGAAGAGCTGAAGATTTGCTCTTCAAATTGAGTGTCTTCAATAGTGTTTGAGTATTTATCGATAGGAAGAGATTATAAAAGATTTTTTTTCTCATACATTACAAGTTATTGTATTTGTATAATAAATAACTGTAATATATTTTGAAACAATTTATATATTGTTTGAGCTTTGGAATTTGCTTAGTTTATCTTAAATACTTTAGAATTTTTTTTATTTAGTAATTTTTTAATTTATAATTTATGTTCAGTTTGGTTTCTTAAAGTTTAACAATATATTGTTTTTATTTTAATGCAAATATAAATTTTTTGCATTATATTTTATACTTTTTCTTATTATTACTTTAATTTTTTATTTACTATTTAATTTTTTGTGATACTCAAAATTATGAGAAAAAAAAAACTTTTTTATGTATTTTATATTATTTATTTATTTTTGTCATTATTTTTTTTTTTATTAAAATTTTTTAAAATCATAACTATTTTTGAAATTTATATATATTTAATATATTTTTTACTGTATATATATTTTCTTTCGTATTTTTGGTATATATAATTTGCATTGTATTCGATTTGTAATTTATCGTATTATATATATAAAATCAATTTTTGCTTAGTCAAAGTTTAAAATCATTCATAAATTAAAATCAATCACAATTACTTACAAAATGAATGCTCACTAATTTATGGTCTCTTCTACTTCTTCTTCTTCTTGTTCATCCTCAGATTCATCCACAACCAACATGGTCTACTATCCCGCTAATCAGCTGCTCATAAAGACGGAGCAACCCAGTCAGACGCAATTCTGTCTGCAGACGCCGCTTACCGCGACGGGCGGTGGTGGCATTGGTGTGGCGCCACCTGGCGGCCAGCATGAGCACTATGAGCTATTGCAGACGCCACAGCAGCGACAATTGCAGCAGCAGCAGCAGCAACAGCAGCAACAACAGCAACAGCAGCAACAACTTGCCAGCTATCAATTGGTGCTGCAACAACAACAGCAACAGCATGAAAGTATTACAACAACAACAACAGCTGCAGATGCAACAACAACACAGCAACTGCATCGCATTAAAACAGAATTGCCGGCAGTCTATGGAGCAACAACAACAACAACAAGTGCTTCAGCTGCATCAACAAAAGCAACAATTGCCACGCCCCGCAAACCGAACGCCAACAAGCCGCAATTCAAGTGCGAGCAGTGCGGCATGACCTTTGGCAGCAAATCCGCCCACACGTCGCACACGAAATCGCATGCGAAAAACGCCGATCTTGCCATGGGCCTCAAGTCGGGCCTGGGCAGCAGCAGTTCGAGTTCCAGTTCCAGTTTCAGTTCCAGTTCCGCTGGCACCACGCCGCCCATCGAACTGAACGAGGCCGGCCTGCCGCTGGGCATACCAAAGAGTCCGACCATCAAGCCGCTGCCCAACGTTGCCGCCGGCGCCGATCCCTATCAGTGCAATGTGTGCCAAAAGACGTTTGCGGTGCCAGCTCGATTGGTAAGTAACGAGAGGGATGGAAGGGGGGAGGGAGAAGGGAGAAGGGAGATAGAAGCGAAGCTAATGGGTGGGAAAACAAAAATAGTTAGTATTAAATGTGGGAATTGTCTTATATTGATAAGTGAGTTGATTTTTCGATTTCAGCCATATCTCTATAAATTCAGTGAAATTCCTGAAATAGAACAGCTAGATGATTCACACTGGCGACTCCTGTAATTGTAATCCTGTCTACGCCTTTTCTAGACGTACTCTGAAATTCAGTTTTTGCTAAATGAGTCTTTTCACTCATTTTCCCATAATGAAAATGTAATTGGCAGTTCTGTCTGGAGCCCCTGAAACCTCCAGAGAGTGTTTCATATAATTGTAGGTAATTCTTTAATTGTTTCTCCTAGCTTTTCAGTTGTTCTTCATGCCAATTTTCCCCTCCGCTAAGTAAAATTCACTTGCTGAAAAATTGAGGCAATCTAAGACAACATTACTTCTCCTATTCATAGTTTTTATACCCTGAAACCATTGAAAACGGCAAATCAGGGTATAATAGTTTTGTTGAAATGTATGTAACAGGCAGAAGGAGGCGTGGCAGACCCCACAAAGTATATA